AGGATAGCGATGATGAGTTGTTCTCTGAGCTGAGTGCCCCTTTCACCACAGGCAAAGGTGCCCAGACTGAAGCAAGACACACTGCATGCTTGGGGATCTCTCTGTCCCCAAGGGTGACACAAACACCAAGGAGCTCAGGTGGCTGTGGCAAGCTCTTCTAATTCTTCTCCCTCTTCTTCCCACCATCCCTGGCAGATTTCTTCACAGATCTGCAGCAGGAGCTGGCTGGGCATTCTCGGAGGAGGCAGAGGAAGGTCCTGGAAGAACACCAGGCCCGTCTGCGGGAGCTGCAGGAGCATGGGGGTCTGCTGCTGCCCCCCCTACCGCTGTGCTCACTGAGCACAGAGAGCTGCCTACCCCCCAGCCCAGGAATCACCACAGCCCCTGGCCCTGGGCGGTCTCAGCTCCATCCCCAGGCAAAGCCTGGACAAAGCCAGCAGCCAAAACCAGCTGCCATCCTGAGCCAGCCTCGGCCCACAGCTCTGCAAGGGGAGCCTTGTACCAAAGGGGCAGGGAAATAGGCAGCACCTCAGGTATGTGGCACCAGCACAGTGTTGCACAGTTGGAATTAAAGCCTCTTTATTCTTACATTGATCTCTGTCTGCCACGGAGCCCTGCAGCCAGCAGCTGGGTCCTCTGCTGAGGGGCTGAGCGTGAGCAGTTCTGCTAATGGTGGGAAACAATGTGCCAAACTGAGAAAGGGAACCCCACCTCCCTTCTGTGCACCCCCCTTTCACACCACAGCCACCCCCAAAGCACTGATTGATTGCTCAGGGCTGGAGGTGCTGGTGGAGCCATTCCCTTCCACAGCTCCAGAATGAGAGGAGGCGAGGAACCAGGGCAGGGCACCAGGAAGGGTTTCTCACCCCCAGGTGGGAACAGTGTTGCGGGGTCTGAGCTCCTCTCCCCTCCTAATCCACCTGCATGGGGTTTATTTGTAAAACTTCATCTCTGCATCCACGCAGTCAAAGAAGAGCTCAGCCAGCTCCTCTGGCCTTGGGGCCACATTCCCTGCCAGCAGCGCGTTCACTGCCTCCAAGCCCTGCTTCTCCAGGTCCCGCAGCGTCTGCAGGAGCTCCTGGCCCCGCTCCTGGTGGGGTTGGGGACAAAAGAAAGCTGAGGATGGGCACCATCAGGACATCCCACTGCCTCCCATGTTGCCATGGGACAGCACGAGGGCCATTGGGAAGGGCTTGGTGCTACCTGGTCCTTCTCCATCAGCTCCAGCGCTGCCTGGTGCCGGCGGTACAGCTCGTGCCTCCGGTCGACCGCGCTCTGGAAGCGTGGCACCTTCTTGGCAGGGTCGTCACTGAAGGTGGGAGAAATCACCTGCGGTGCAGGTTTAAGGCCGGGCACGAAGATGAAGGGCTTGAAGACAGACCTGATGAAAAGCAGCAGGGACGCTCAGCCCAGGGCACGGCTCTGTGTCATGTTCATCACCCTGGAGTCCTCACCTGGAAGGATCCGGAGTGGCTGTGAAGAAGTGGATGCAGGGCAAGGCAGGGTCCTGGGGCAGCACAGACACCATGCTGCCTGCTGTGCGGAAACCCTCCGAGTCCACGCAGATGCCGCTCTCCTTGTCCCGCAGGATGGCCATGAATGTCTCTGCTGTGATGTGTCCTGGTAGGCAGAGCAGATCCACATCACTGCTGGCTGCCACAGAACAAGCTGGGGGTGGCTGCTCCCATCCCCATCCCTGTCCCTACCTGCGTGCTGCTGCAGCAGCTCCTTGCCAGCACGATAGCGGGTTTTGGCAGCCTCCATGCGTGGTGGCTGCTGTGCCAGGGAGTAAACCTCAGCAAAGCTGAACTGGCCAGCCCCACTCCACCAGCCCTGGCTCTGGGCTCGCTGCCGCAGCCCTGGGTGCTCAGCTGTGATGTCCGTCCCGATGCTGAGCTGGTTGGAGATATTGCGGCTGCCCTCTGCGGAGCTCAGGGCACGTCAGGTGTGGGGCAGACCCCAGGGGATGGGGATCCCCAAATTAACCCTGCCTGAAGTTGAGTGTGTGCTCATAGGGTCCCACCACCGATGCCTGCTCACCTCGGATCTGCTGGGCTGCCCAATAGCTGCCGGCCGTCTCCAGCACCCAGGCCTCGTGGCGGTCAGCCAGCAGGAAGGTGTTGTGGTACACAAAGGGTATGGGCTCCTCCTTGCAGCTCCCACCCTGTCCGTGCTGCTCCAGCAGGGCTGTGATCACCTCCAATGCTTCCCGGGCAGAGCTGCCCCTCTCCAAACCCAGCCTGCAGCATGGCAGCACCCCATCAGCCACGTGCAACCCCACGGGAACTGTGGGGTGATGGTGGGGATGCTCCTCACCTCACCAGGTCCATACCCAGCAGCGCCTCATCCTCCCCAACAGGCTCACGGGTCCATACGCCCTCATTGCCCACGCAGACACCGAGCTCATTGGCACCCATCTCAGCACCCCACAGCCAGGCAGGACGGCTCAGCACCACCGCGTGGGTCTGCTCCACCTGCTCGATCTCGATGTAGGTGCACTGAGGGGGGGGGACGGCAGGGCTGAGACCCAGCACGCTCATCACACCGCTGACACCGGGGACACCGAGAGCCGTCACGCCGCTGCCCTGGCACGTTCTCACCTGCACTTTGTCCCCGGGGCGGTGGACGGCGGAGGGGATGTAGACGATCTCCTGCACTTCGTGCCGCGGGCGGTCGGCGTTCTTGCCGAAGACGACAGCGGGCGCTGCGGTGTGCGGAGGCAGCGCCACGAAGCAGTCACAGGATGAGGGTGCGGGATCCTGCCCTGCCATCCTAAACCGGGGCACCGATGACAGCGTCACCCACCCACCCCACCCCCTCCGGCCGTGCCCTGCAGCTGTCCTCAGGGTCCCCGTCGGTGCTGGCAGCCGTGGGACAGATGGGGACCCGCGGTGTGGGGCGGGACAGGGATAGCAGCGGCCCCAAGTCTGGGGCGCAGCAGCGAACCTGGAGGGTGGCCCGAAGTGGGGGGGGGGGAACCTTCTCCAGGACCTCCTGCCTGGGAGCCCGGCAGCTCTGCACGAACCGGGACCCCCGCACCGACCGGGAGCGGACCCCCCGTACTAACCCCGTTACCGAACCCCCGACCCCGACGATCCCCGTTACCGGACCTCCGCCCCCGGACCTGCCGCCGCCTCCGTGCCGTCTCCTCCCCTCGACTCCCGGTTCCGCCCTCCTCGTCCCCGCCCGCCCCGTCCCGTCCCGTTCGGCCGACGGCGGCGCCCGGTGGCCGGAGGTCGCAGGGCGGTGGCACCGGGACGCGCCCCCCAACTCGGTACCCCTCGGTCCGATGGCGCCCAGCGGTGCAGGATGAGACCCTCCCGGAGGTCCCCCTCAAAAAAAGGAGCCGGAGAACCGGGCCGTGGAAAAACGCGCTTTATTCCGGTACAAAACGAGCCCCAGCCCCGCAGCCTCCCCCAGCACGGACCCCCCCCCTCTCGCTCCCCCCGCAGCTCCTCGGCCGCCCCCGGCCCGGGCGGGGTTGGGCGGGGGATCCCGGGGCCGGCGCTGCCGGTTCCTCCCCGCCCCGGGGCGGTGCTCGGGGGGGGGACGCGGCGCGGGGGCAGTTCGGGGCCGGCACCCCACGCCGCAGCCGGCCCGACAGGTTTCGGCGGGCGGGGGCCGGGCTCCGGCCTCCCCACCCGGTGCCGCCGCCTCCCGTTGCCCCATCGCGGCGGGGAGGGGCGGGGGCAGAGCGCATTTGGGACCCGGAGCCCACCGAGACTTCACCTCGGGGTGGGCTCCTGAAGTGGGAGGAAGGAGGAGGGGGGGGGGCACAGCACAGAGACGGGACCCCCCCCTCCCCAGCACGAAAGGCCGTGGCTACATCTTCACCCGGAGCCGTCCACCCCGAGCGGGTGGCAAAGCCTGGCTTCACCTTAATAAAATAATAATATTAATAATAATAATTAATAATTAATAATAATAATAAAACACTCGAAACCCGAAGATTCGCGGGGCGCCCTCTGGGCACGGACCCCGCTCGACTTCACCTCCACACCTTTTCCCCCCCCCCCCCCCCCACCCCTCCCCCAGGACCCCGGGGGACTCTGAACTCCGGCCACGGCCCCCACGGAGCCCCAATCCACCCCTCCTCTCTCATCCCCGATGGCTGTGACCCAGCGGGGCAGAGCCGGGGGTCCAACAGCCCACCCCACCCCCAGTGCTGCCTTCCCCCTCCCCCTCCCCCCCCACGTTCAGTGTCTCCTTCTTTATCCATGGGGCTCAGCCACAATTTTTTTTGGGGGGGGGGAAAGGCGATAAGACCCAATAGATCCACCCACGGAACAAGTCGTGGGCCACCAACGGAGGGGGATGAAGGGGGTGAAGGATGGACTCGGGGTGTCCGGGTGGAAAGGGACAGCCCCGGGGGGGGGGGGGGGGGGG